CTGAATATATTTATAAAAACACTATAGAATATTTTTGAAAAATTTAAAACTAGATTATAATTTAATATTTTTAAAACTATTATTAATTTTGTAGAAAATATTAACATATCCAAATGCATCTAATTTAATAAATTTATTTTAAAGCTTCTGAATAAAAATTATTACTGTACACTGACTAAACACATAACAGATAGGGAACGTTAAAATTATGTATTTTTAACAAAAATTACATAATTAAAAAATATTGCTGGAAAATAAAATAATTTTAAGTAGTCTACGATTTTATAACAATACGTGATATCACTTTAATATTACATTATATTTACGTGGGCATATATAGAACTGATAACCACATAAACAGTCATTCTTTTAGCTAACTTATTTTTATGTTTTATAACAGTCCTTGTTATTTGGTTATCGTTCGCCATCCCTTCAAAAAGAAAAAAAGCATTCTACTTATAGCTATGAAATATAACTGTAGAATGGTGACAGTATTGACAACTGTTAGGATTAATAGGAAATAATATTGATTTTCGTTTTAGTTACAGAAAGCATTGTTTCAAAATGGTATCAACCAATGAAATGCAGTTTTTGAAACTAAAAAAAGTCATATTAAAAATTGCTAAGTTAAAATTAATGATAACTACGTAATAATCAATAGTATATGTAGAATTTAAATTCGTACGACGTTTATATAACTTATTGTTGTCTAAATTTTAATTATGATAACGAAAAGTTATGCAAACATCATATAAATTTAAAATATTAATATTGTTGTTAATGTGTCTACTACAATATATTTAAATTTGATTAGAAATTGTTTTCAATTGTTTAAACCAGAAATTGTTAGCCTAAAAGTATATTAATTTTAAGATTGTTTTTCATTTTAAATGTTAATACGATGTTATTGTTTCACTAATAAAATATTATTATTATTATTTTTAAAGCGTAGGAATGAAAATATGTATTTTATGTATTTTTTCCTCGTTAGTGGAAATTCATATCGTAAAATCAAACTAAAATTATTATTTATCTATTGAAATAAAATAATAAATGATGGCGATCAGTTATAATATTGATTATAAAATTCTTTTCTGTAAAACACTGTATTGTTTTATGTTTTATTAGGTTTTGTTTGTTGTTCACTTCCATCATGACAACCTTTCTTAATTTTTAAGATAATATATTATTGATAAATGGTAAAAGTGATGAGAAGAGCAGCAATTAAGTTTAAAATGCGTAATTATTACTTTCATTTTTGTGAAAAGATTTGTGGTGATGATGAAAATTTGATTGAGTTTAAGCTTGACATTTTTCGATGATTTTGAACAATACGAGATGTCATTATATCAAGCATGAATCTCTAAACTAGACAAAATGTAAGAGATATTTAAAATCTCTATATGTAATCAATCATATATGTCACTTCCTATAGGTAGAAACATCCTTTTTGATCAAGCAATATTATTAGAACAGAAATTTAACTTAAATGCGTATGATATTTTAAGTTACGTGAAGTGAAAATCACGAAATCTCGGCCGTTCAACCGAACGTGATTTGGTTTGACAGAAGAAAGAAGTAGAAAAAGAAGTTGAATTTCGAATGGCAAGTTACTTAACGATGGAGACGGATCACGCAAGCTCCTCTTGGGAAATCAACAGGGTACGGGTGGGGCATAAGCATTTTCAAAATCGGATAGAGGGGATATGCGGGGGTAGAGAGTTTTTCTTTCTTTCCAAACGTTAGTCTCATGTCTCTTGAGATAATCGTGAACCAAATGCGTAATGCAGGTTGAATTCAGAATACGGAGTTTTAAAAAGCTCAAGAATATAGTTTAATGAAGGAGTAATTTTACGTAGTTTAGAATATTAAAATATTAATTGCATCGTTTTATAGTTTTAAATATATATCTCTATACTATTTTATCTCATGAATGGGGAATATACGTAAATGATATATAAAACTTAGAAAATTTACCTTGTAGAACTGTATATTTATTTTTAAAATTAAGAAAATGTAAGAATACCAAGTAATGCATCAAAAAGAAAGAAAAGAAGTGAATTCTGATTTCTTGAATTAGTCAAATGAGATATGAAAATTGAACTCTAAACTTATGTCATATTTAAATAACATATAGTAATTATATTAATAGATTGGATAAAATTTCAATTGTAAATTTTATGAATTGTCTATTTATCATTTAATTTTAAAAGATAGACATTTCGAAACTACATTGAATCCTAGAATAATTTATTATATGGACAAATTCTAAGTATCAAATAGCTTTGTGGTAAAGTTTTTTAATGCATTCGTTTGAGATAATGGATTATAAATGTCTGACTCTAAGAATTTGTTACTATGTTCCAAGTGTTTAAAATTGTTTCCTTCTGTAACTAAATGTCTAGTACTATTACCGTACTTTGATTTAGTGTTTTAAGAGTAATAGCTGTGATCAAATAAATTGAGATGGCAAACACTTTGTCACCATTGATTATTGCTTTTTACAGATAAATCTGACGATTCGGTAGGTTTATAAATTCCTTGTAAAACGATTTTATGATTGATTTAATTTTATTTTATTTATTCATTTTTATGTGAATTCTAAGAAGTTGCTCAATAGAAATACCGTTGTCTGTAAGTTATAGGCCTATTGTGTTCTTTGTCAATTAGTGTCAAGTGTCATGTCTGATCTTCAACGATATATTATTGTTTGTGAGAATTGTCTTTTCAGTACAATTTTGAGCGAATTTATTAATATTACTCGAACTAGAAGTTTATAATTAGTTTTTAATAAATGACCGTTTGTTATTTGATCGTACTTATATTTGTAGCCTTCTTTGTCAGAATAAGAAATTTGCTAAAAATCTTTTCTTGTGTTTTTTCTTTTGTATTTTTGCCCTTTTTATTTTATTATAATTTTGCTTTTTGTAATATTTTCCTCTTTTTTTCGAAATTTTTTATGATATTAGCTTAAGTCCTGAACTGTAACTACGAATGCTTCTGTTTCAGTGAATGAATTCATTATAGACGAGCCATGAACACTATCAAAACCTGCATTTAAGCTCTTGACAGTGATTTCCATGTTCCCCTCCCCCTTCTGTTCTTTGTGTTAACTAAGTAATTCGTTTGATGTATTACGTGTTGTTATACACTGAATTTGTAAAAGAAACTCATTTTATGAATGTTTCATAAAAGTCTTTTATTAAAATATATTTGTTTAGTCATACAAGTAGCCTGGGATCAAAATTTTCTGCACCAACATTATTCTGTATTAAATCAGTATTAAATAAATATATGACTTAATTATCCAAACTTATTTTGAGTTTTTTTAGGAATGTTTTCTATTTGCCTGTATAAGAAGTTAAAGAACAGTTTACTTATAATTTATTGATTAACTTGTTATTTAAAGTAATTTTAAGTTCTTTAAGCTCCATATATAATTTTATTGGTTTATTAGGTATTTACAGTTTGTGGATACATTTCAGATTATTACTGTAATAAAAGATCTAATAAATCAATAGAAAGTCAACACATTTGTATATTAAACATTTTATAAATAACATTTTTTTTTCTTTTTTAAAATTTACTTTAAGGTTATTATTGAAGACTTTAATTCTTTTTTTTGTTTATCATTGTTATTAATAATTAAAAAATTCTATGACAGACTAATTTTTAATGATTATTTCAATATAGAATTGAGAACATTGTAATGTTAAACTATAAATAAAGAATGTTTTATATAATGTAAACAGTTATTTAGAACAGTTATAACAATGTGATAATCAACTTCCATGAGTTATATTTAAATATGTTTAATTATTGTTCATATACATTTCTAGAATGTTCAGTCCTCCTCCTCTTATTTTTTCACCTTTTCTGCCTTTTGTCTTGACGATATGTTGCCTAGAGGGGGCAATAAACCCTGCTTGGCAGGGTTCAGAAAATTGCCATGAATTTTATGTAAATATGGGGCGCGTTTCCTAGTAAAGCCGCTTTGTTAAAAAAAAAAAAAAAAAAACAGTTAAGTTAGCTGCTGTAGTGCTAGTGCAGCGAGGTTCACAAACGCTGAAGATAGAAGTTAAGATGGTTGCCACCATAAATTATCCGCACATTACGTACTCTACAGTACCTCAAATGTTTGACTAAACATTTTTATTCGTACAAAACAACGTATATAGTACAAAGAATGAAACAATACTGAGTAGTTGAGGTTTAGAAGTATTTCTTACGACAGCGGAAATTGCTAAAAGTGCGCTCCAGTTGCTTAAGTAAAGCAGCTTTACTAGGAAACGCTCCCCATGTTTAGTTATTGTTAATTGTTCATATACATTTCTAGAATGTTTTCTCGTTCTCTTTTCAATTCCTGTGCCTTTTGTTCTGACATTATGTTGCCTAGAGAGGTAATAAACCCAGAGGGGGAAGGTGGAGAAAAGCGTATATACTGGTGGACCAGAGAATATGGGGCACTTTCTCTTCTTCGTGTGCCACCTTTATTTCGTCGCCACCATCCACCATTTTAGGACTAGAGATACTTCTCTCCATTGACCCTCTTCATTTCTTCTATCTCTTATAACCGTAATCTTAATTTTAAGATAGGCTAAAGTATCTCGAGTTACTGGATTATGTTTATAGTAGTCAATACAATTAGTAACCAAGATCGCGAATGATAACTCTTGTTTTACATTTGTATGTACTGTACAGTACCTTGCTGCAATCCTATGCAAACCAAAATAAAAATAAATCTCACAACAGAACTTCGGTATTTTAGACTGTCCTGTACTTTCCCTTCGAATAACAAGAAATAGCACATTAGTTTACATAATTTAGATTCGTAAATAAAGGTTTAATTTAGTGCGCAGTATTCTTTATTCATTTATATATAAGAAAAAGTTTAATTTTAAAATTTATGTTGGTAATTCAAATATATTATACATAAGCAATTTAGATAAGAATTTTTTTGTTGATGATAAATTAATTTTTAATGCACTTTTAAATTTTAGAATAAAGTTGAAATGGGTTTTGAAAAGTTTCGTGGTACTTATCCTGGATGGGATCCTGAAATGAACAATTTCAGAAAGATATTTTCTTTCCGCACAATGAGAAAACACCCAGAGGTATGTATTTTATTTTATTTATAAGATAATATTTGAAATAATTGAAATCGCGAAATTGTTTTTAAAAATATATTACTAGCTATATCTTAAAATATTTATTAACTCAATATTCCAGACTTATTCCTAAACGTTTTTAAATTATCGAAAAAAAAACTAGTGAATTAAAATGAATGTTTATTACTTTTAGTCAGAATACATGAAAATTAAACCTAGAAAATTGGTAAATTATAATAAACATTATATATATATAATATTAATCAGTGATTTTCACAATACAGTTATAGAAGTAATTTTAAATAATTCACATTGTGTGCAGATACCGCATTGTGGAAGTAATCTAAATCAGTGATGGCATTCGATGTTAGTTTCTTTTATCAATGAAATGTATTTGGGATTTTCTTTTTTTAAATAAATGACCAACGCTATTTTAAGTGTTAAAATCAAAGTAATAGCATCGATTCTAAAATCCAAAGAAAATGTCATCTAATTGTCTTGTTTCATTTCCGATACTTTTATTCGATCGCCCCGAACTTTCGTTTTAAAAGGAGCGATGCCCGCATCCTTTCAATCAACAAAGAGAGAGAAAGAGAGAGCAGTCATCAAGCAGATAAAAGGAACCGTCTATTAAGGGAAAGACCATCACCATGGCAACGGATAGTGTAAGGTGAGTCGGCTGAACCAATCGCGCGGAGTAACGAAACGGACGTGAAGCCACGAGACTCCCTCCGGCACGGCACTTTCATCGTCAGTCCGCTTGCCAGATCTTGTTTCAACTTCATTTTTCTCAAACTATCCAGCCAATTCGATAGGAAATGGAGACTAGACAGAAAATGAACTACTCTTTCAAGCATTGCTATAGTGAAGAGCATTACTCACTGACTAAGAAAAAGTAAAAATATCGAGTAACTGAGTTCTTCCTTTGAAGCAAAAGCAATCTTTTACTATCTCCAAAGAAGTAAATGTTACACTTTTCATTAGTAGGGTCCAAAAGCTGGTTAAAACTATCGGAATAATTGTTTGATTTATCATTTTCTTCTATAACTTAATCCTTTGACGTAATTATTGTATAAGCTATACATCAAAGCTTTAATACTTTGAAACAACAACGATTTTTCTTCTATTCTCACTTGAATTTATGATAATCCCTGTTGTTGTAAGATGCGCTGTTTATCTAAGTCCGTGCGGATGGTTTTAGTGTTTTACACTACACTTTTTTCCCCAGTAGCAAACAGCAGCAAAAAGTTCACACCAATACTCCAGCACAGATCAATTTCTTTATATACTTTGTATTGTATTTAGTTCAGAAGAAATTAATAATACAATTTAGTTATTAATGTAAGTGAATATGAAAATTATTTATAGTAATTTTGTTGAAACTTGTCATTGATAAGAATTAATGTCTTTGTTCTTGATATAAGATAAAAACGCCTAAAAATTTTCAGAAGTTAATTGTGGCGCCATCTGATGTTGAAAGAAATAAAACTTTTATTTGGTAAATGCTATGGTGTTTTTCGTTAATACTTCTATTTTTATACTACAATATTAAATTGTACATTCAATATTATGAATCTTACCAAATAATCGGAAAAACATAAAAATCACTGAAAATACATAGGATTTATTAGAGAAATATTTATCATAGATTGCCAGTGGCGTAGCGTGGGTGTCAGCCGCCCGGGGCGGAGAAAAATTTCGCCCCCTTATTTAGGTATCTCAATTTAAAAGACTAAAATTCAGTTTTGTCACAGAACAAGCAATGAAAAATTCCGTGCTAGTGCAGCGACCTGTTTAAAATAGCTCTATTGGATATTGGCGGTGTATATGAATACGAATGAATCGTACAAGCCATAAAAAAAAAGGTCAACAGGTTTCGCAGGATATGCTCGGATGAAATTACTAGTTCACCCGGACGGTGAGCCCGGACTGTCCGGACGATAGCACTATCGTAGGCGCAACGCAGATATAGATTAGAATGGTTCAAATTTTTACAAGATATTATTATTATTTATTGTGAAATTTTGCCGCCCTCTAAAAAGTGCCGCCCGGACGGACCGCCCCTACCGCCCCCACTACACTACGCCACTGTAGATTTCTTAAATAAAAGAAAACTTAATTTACTTTTTCAATTTTTTATAGCTTATTCCATTAGTATTTGTTACAACAGTAGCTATGACTGGAATGGCCTCTTCGATTTTATATCATATATTTTATAACTTAGATGCAAGGTATGTGATGTTTCATAAAATGAATTTAACGTATTTTGAGCACATTCTCATGGACTTCTAATATTGTATTTCATACGCAATTATATTTATTGTTTTGTATAAAATTTTAATCATGCATTAATAATTATATAAATACAGTATAAACTTTATTCGGACGTTTTATTTATAGCAAAGATTGAGTCTAATTGTTGATCTTTTCTATGTAATTAAAGTTACTTGCTTTTAAAATAAAATCGCTGTTTCAAATTTTTATTTATTAATTTAATTAGTCCTTACCTTATAAAATAAAAATTAAATTAAGCTAAAATAAATTTTTTATTGATTTTAATATTTAACATTAGCATTTATTTGCATTTTATTGACATTATTAACTAGTAAAATGGTATAGATAGTGTCGTATCATCATTATCAATTTAGATATAAGTAATAATAATAATATTATTAAATTACTAGAATATTAAATAAAATTGCTGCAATATCTAAAAACATTTAAATTAATTAACAAACAGAATTTTAAAGTTCTTGAATTATAAGTTTATTTTGTTTTTCGATTTTGTTGAGTAAACAAAAATATGAGAATTCATTTTAATAAAATTCAAATGAAAACTAATGAAATAAAATAATTTATGGAAAGCGTATTAAATTGAAAGATAAACTTCCTGCATATAACCGGTAATAACATCTTAAATCCTAGAAATTGGTATAATTATTATTATTATTATTTTCCGCCATGTTCGAAATTATTAGCTAGTTCATTTTATCGTTAATTTTTAACTTTCCTATATATATCATATTTATAATGCACTTCTATTATTAGCAAATTATTATATATAAATTTAATTTAAAAACTCTGGCAAATAAATAAAAATGACTAATTGGTTTAAAATTGAAATATGTAATACAAATTATCTGTTCCATAAAATATGTCTGAGTATTTTATAGGTAATAATAGTAACCATGTAATATTGGAAAAATTTTATTATTAACATATTTTAAAATTTCCAACCTTATAAATTGCAAGAAGTAGATTTCAACCATTTCATGATTCAAACTATTTTTGAAATATGCTTGTAAATGCTTTTTTGTAAATATTACACTCACTCTGCTCTATACAAGCCGCTTTTCCTAGTCTTTCTCTATAAGTAATCAGAGATAATGCAATTAAAAGTAATCAAATTAAAACTATTGAAAATTATATAGACGCTTCATGTTCATGATAATTTAATCTTGAAGCAATTTAGATGGTAATGATGTGACACTGAATCTAGAGGAGTAAAAAGTAGCTAGATGGGGAGAATTGATATAAACGAAGAGAATATTTTATATTTTTTACAGACTAAAAGTGAAAAGTAAAATATGTATTTATTCGGAAAAACGTAACGATTTTGAAATGGATTTTAGAAATAGGAACATCGTATAAGTATTATAAAACTATTAAATAATTTTGTAAAATACAAATTTATTTACCCTCTATTTTTGATGATGCCTTTAAATGTTCAACTCTAACATAATTTTTAATATTTAGTTTTGACTTTTAATGTTCGTTCTGAATTTTTTAATTAGAAATGTATAAAATTATAAATTAAATAACATATTTATTTTAATATAAAATTAAAGATTTATAAAAGGAGACTATCCAAGATGGGAAATGGTGGATCCTGAGAAACCACAGAAGGTATGATTTTAATATCGATTTTTATCCGTATTAAAAAGTTTGATTTATTAACTATATGAAATGCAGTTTATTTAGAAAAGTCCTCCATTCTATTATAGAAATAATCTTATTTCCTATTTATAATAGAACAATAGGGTCTTTCCGGATTCTTCATTATTTAAATGCTGAAATTAATCCAAAAGTTAACCGTTCTGTATTTTTCTTTTGACGTTTCCTGTATAATAGCTACCTTATATTTAATATCTATTCTTTGTTGAAAAAGGTCATTTTTTAAATGCTACTTTTAAACTATAAATTAGATCCACGCTTCTAATTTTCATTCTGAAGATAAACAATTTTTCTGTTGAAGAAATAATACGAATGAAAAAAGATGAAACACTTTTAAATTAAGAATGTGAAAATTTTATTATTCAATATGTATTATGAACAAAATGACTTTTTAAAAGTATCTAAAAATAAATTTTGAGTTTAATTTAAATGGAAATTTTAATTAAGCATATATTTTCCAGTTGATTACGATCAACCAAAAATGGGAACGAATTCCCGAATTGGATGAACTTCGCAGCATTATTGGGCCTTACAAACCAAAGTAATTACATTGAAACAAATTAGAAATTCGTGAATTTTATCAGCATTTGTTTGGTGTATTTATATTTATTTATTTTGTACAGTTGCTTCCTGAATTTTAAACTAAATAATAAATATGTAATACTTTTAAGTTATAAAAATGTATTTAATAAATTAAATGTTTTGAATGAAACTTTCTGAATGAATTATTAAATCAGCTTTTTCAAGAAAATCATTTAAAGTGACTATAATACTATTAAAGTTTTAAATGGTGAATGAAAATTACTGTAAAAATAATAAATTACAATATAATTTATTTATAGAGCATTAAATATAATTTTAACATACAAGCTTTAAATATATGTTTAAAGTGTTTAATTTCTTTTTCTATTCTTATTCTATTCTATCAAATGTTTTAATTCAAAGAAAATATTTACTTTAAAATTAATTAACATTTTAAATGCTATGAAAGATTTACTAATAGGAGTAAAATACTTAATTAAAAGCATAAAGTATATACACAATTATGTCATTACATAATGCCGTAGAAAGGAAGAAAAATGCTGAATTGAGATTTATACTTTATCGAATAACTAGTGAGTTGCCATTATACTCCATAACATATCTTTCACTCTTCCAGACTCTTATCCCCAGAATACAGCTGAAACACAGATTCAGGAAAGAGAAATAAAATTTTAAATATGAGCATTGCATAGCAATGTAAACTAAAAGCTTATATTAAATTATTCCATAGATTAATAATATTGATATATTTTTACAGGAAGGCTGCAAAGTTAGTTTATTTTACGAAATTTTTCTAAATTTCAATCTTTTTAATATATTGAAATCGGCAATTTAGTTATATTATTTTGAAATAAACACTTGATAATGTTAATCATTTGATATATTAAAAGTTGATAATGTTAAATCCTACTTTTACAAACACGTGTTTATATTTTATAAAATGATTAGAAGAATCAATAATCTGGCAATCTTTGTAAAATATCTTAATAATTTATGGATCATTTAAAAACATTAAACTAAAACATAATTTATTAATGTTTCAAGTTAATAATTATTATAAACAGGATATTTTCCAAATATCAAATACTCGCAGCAAACAGAGTCGCTAAAACTCATTAACAAATTATTTGAATTAACGACACGAATAGAGTTTAATGCAGCTATAATTTATTATCTTGATAATAATTAAAATTCACGCTTGTTGTTAACGTTCTCTTTTAATAAAAGTCGATTTATTTCGATCCTTTCGTGTATGCGATCTCTAAATTTTTACAAGAGTATCATTCCATAAAATTTATATGCCCGTTATAGCGATTGTCGTTTCGTCGCTTATCTACCAAGTCCGAAACGGTTTAGCTAACGTCTCTAAATGCCAGCTGTTATAAATCAGAAACAGATATGAGAACGTCATCTTAACGGTCAGACAAGGGTAGTAAATCTCGGCAGCAGCGAATCGAAGTTTTATATGGCCAAGTGTATCCTCTACTTCTAAGCGCTAGAGGGAGCCACTTGTTGAAATGCAGAGGATCGTGCTGCCAGTGATCAACTGCAGTATTTTCCAATAAAAGCGCATCGATAAAATAAATCTTGGAGAATTGACGCTCATTCTAAACGTCGATATAAGTCCGTACGATAAAGATGACCGCAATTTGGTTGAGGATTTTTGTCAAACGCTATCACCTTAAAAATTTCTCTGGATTTCCTTCCCCTTCTCTACGATATGAGATTTCAAGCAAAAATATACGACGACAATTGATATAAAAAGTATAAAACAAGTCAATATCCTTTATTTCCCGTTGCCAACTTACCCTGGAGACAGATGGAGCCGTGTTTACAATCAGCTAAGAATGATAAGCTTTCAAAAGATGATGATATAGGCTGTTAGAAATTTCATTTTGCGTCGGCTCTTTTATTACTCCTATCCGAAGGTGGTATAAAACCTAAAAAAGCAATTTTAAAGTACAAAAAAGTAAGCAGAAATTGTTCTTGTGAGGATATCCGTTCGAATTCGTCTTATGGTCTTTTCACTTTCGAATCTTCAACGCTTGTATGCCCATGAAAACATTTTAATGATTCCAATGGTGAAAAAATATTTTCAAGTTAATTATAAACAAGTTTTAAATCGTTTATAGTATTATCCATTTGGAAAAAATTAATTATACCATTATAATTAATTTTTTCCAATAATTATAACTTTTTTTGTGAAATGTTATACGTATTAATTGCTTTTTAAAATTAATTTTATTACAGTAATGTTACGTGATATAAATAATATATTTAAATTAAACAAATTTCTACTCTTTCCACTTTTTCAATAAACCGATCAATTCGTAATTGACTAAATTCTTTGATACTGTACTAGAAAATTTTGCAATTCGAAATAATTCACAGTAAAATTACAGTAATGTTAGGTGTTATAAATAATATATTTAAATTAAGAGTTCCTTTTTTTATAAACGATACAAAAACTAGACTAAAACTACTTTTTAGTCTAGTTTTTTACCGCTGTTAAAACTGCGAATCTCCTAAATTAAATTAGATTTTTCGTCGAGAAAGTTGCCTATATATTATTACTTAAATAATATATTTTTCGTGATAATTTATGGTAATTCACCTGGACATTTTGTGAGAAAACGTTCTTTGTAACAAGAATAATAAGATTCGCTACTAGAGAGCGAAAGTGTCTTGAGAGTTATGTGATTTTACTTTGGTAGTTGGTAAATTTATCTCTTTAACAAAATGTAGAACACGAATTCCGTCTGGGAATCTGTGATTGATAATTTTCTTTTTCAAATATATTTTTTTTTTACGTTTTTATTATTATTAATTATCACAATTGTGAAGTTCTGAATAATTCAGATATTTGCATTGATCCATGTAATCTTAAATCATTCATACTCCTATTTATTTTATGAAAGAGTTATTAAATATAAAAATTCTATTTTATTAAAACAATATGAAAATATATATTTCGCTAATTTTTGATATAATCTCTTTCTTTTTGGAAACTATCTTATTTTGAATTGCAAAAATTGTTTTCAGTGAATTTACACAAATTTCTTCAAGAGTAAAAAATAATAATAATAATAAAAATTGCTGTTAACCATTGAATTCTTAGAATTATTTGTATTTTCTCCTGATATAACAGGTATGGATTTCATACAATGTAAGCAATTGTTGGTTTCATTTGTATCGCTGACATTGATAGATGAGATTTGGAAGAAAGAACACTTTAGTTTATTTAGAGGCTGATCTTTTATACTTTCGTCGACATTTTCTACTTTCATTACGTTATCGTCTTTTGTGTCATTTGCTAATTCGCATAAGATTTATTCATTTATTATTTTGTAATCCTGATTACAAATTTAACGCCTGTTTGTAAATAAAAACTGCTCTAATGATTCAAAGTTATTGTTTTTCAATTACTTATCAAAGGTCTTGTTTTTCAATTTCTTTTCATATATACTGTATTGTCACACTTCACTTACATGCCAGACATGGTACAGTAAATTTAACTGCCTTTTCCTGCCGTTAGCACACTTTGATGTTTCAACAAGAGAATATGCGTTTAACATTTTATGTGATGCGTTTTTACTTGTATATAGTAGTTTAATACACGTATTTTCCATCATATAAAAAGTATCAGGCGACGGTTCTTCTCATGATCGATTATTTGAAACGTAAGGCTTAAAATCTATAAAAAATAAACTATTTAAATCAAATTGAAAATAATTACTTTAAATTTAATAAACTTGAGTATTTTCATTAACTTAAACTTTAAAGATTTTTCCCCCTCCATGTTAGGAATTTAAAAAATGCAAGAAATTTACTTTATTGTTTACTGAATGTTAAAAATTTAGTTAATTTTACATAATTAAGCAATTGAGACGATTACTAAATAAATGAATTCGCGATTATCCACTATAATTTAGCAAATTCCTAGAAAATTATTTTTCCTTTTTAAAACTCATTTGCCTCATTATCTTTGCATTTAATTACAAACAACTTTAGAAGCATCAATTTTCACAAGTTCTTTCATTATTTCATTATCTAGAACAGTAACAATCTAACAAGTAATGTTCTAAACTGATTAAAAGTGCATAATTTATTCTATTATAAATCATTAATTCTCCGTATGTTCTAATTTATTACAACTTGTGCGTATTTGAGGTTTAATTAAACAATATTTATTAAAAATACATCGCTTTTTATTGAGACCAAAAGATTTTACTTATTAAATTTTATTATTTATTCTATCAATTTTTTTAACTAAATAAATTAAATGACAGTTGCAAAAACTTGAAAAAAGTTTAGGTTTTTATACTTAATAAAAAGTTTAATTATTATTAATATTAATACTTCACATTTAAAATTTTTAAATAAATATTCTTTGGCATTAAAAAAAAATGTAATATTTCGTCAGGTGATCAATATTAAAATTTTTATGTAATAAATGCTTAAAGTTCTGTTGAAAATCTTTCTGGTGCATTTAATAAAGAACTTTTTAGCAATTTATTTAAAACATTATAAAAACCTATAAAAGGCGCATTTAATGTTTTGAATTATTTCCAAAAATTTTTTTTGAATTGGATCTGTTTTCCGAAAAGATTACATGGCAACAAGAACATCTCTCATGAGAACTCCATCTTGAAGTCAAACTTTTTAAATACTGTAATAATATCTGAAGAATGACAAAACTTTTTAATTATTCAGTTAATACAATAACAATGAATAATATTAAAAAAATATATAGGGTGGGGCGAAAAAGTCTCTGACACATTAAGTCTTAGCGTAGAAAAGAAAAATATAAAAGGCAAAAGTAGTAGTTTTATTCGTTGAGACTTTTCTATTGCGAAAAATGTTAAACAATAAAAAATTATAACATTTTAAAATGTATTAAGGTCACCCTGTACTTGAAACGATTTCAGTTCTGAATTAATCAACATTATCTCAATTACATTATCTCAATTAATGTTTTTCAATAAACATTAAAATGTTTATTGAAAAACAATCTTACGATTTAGTTTAATTTAATTTATTGAAATTTCCACAAAGGTTATTTTGATTTCTTCTTAATAAAATGATATGATGTTTGGCATCTTAAATTAAGGGCCCTTATTCCATTATCAATTTCACGATTAAACATATTTTG